TGAGGATAGCTTTAAAGCTTGATGGCAGGTTTTCTTTATCAATATCAGCCTCTTGTGTAATCCCACTTGGGGATATTGATGGTTAATAGATGGGGAGACGAGTTCGACGTCTGAGCTTGTGGTCATGGATCTCAATTCACAACGCACGACTGATTTGTTATTGCTTTGCACGAAATTGGGAGTGGATATGGAGAATGCCATCCGTAAGCCGCACATCATTCAGGCCTTACTTGCGTCGGAAGTAGATGAAAGTGAGCTCCTAAAACCCTGAGAAACTGTTGAAAAGTGCTAGACAAACGAGGAAAAGAGCCGGGCTGAAGCCACGAAGAATAGGCGTGCGGATGAAAAAGAGAGGCTATTGATTGAGCTCGAATTAAAGCAGTTAGAGCTGGAATTGCAGAAAGTGAGAGCTACTAGGGTTGAAGCACACAGCCCAGTCTCGGAGGTCGGGGAAAATTTGAGTGTGAAAAATCTGATGCAACCTTTCCAAGTAGGAGAGGACATTGGAATGTTTCTTGTCCACTTTAATAATAAAAATAATAAGTGACTTATTTCAGACACAGAGTTAGTCTTAGATGACAAGGCAGAAGGCAGAACACTGTCTGGCTGACTAAGGCCTTGCCACCCATACATTGCTCCAACGGTGCGGCAGCATGCGGTGGCACAGAACTTTGAGAGGGCATGCCGAAAAATGAAATTTTCTAAAGCATCCTACCCAGAGTGCCTGTTAACCATGTTGCCGTGTCAGGTAGCGGATGCAATGGGGAGGCTTAGCACAGAGTGGTATGAGGACTCCAGAAGCGTTTTGGCAGCCCTTTCAAAAAGCCACAATGTCTAAAGATGAGTCCTACATTGAGTTTTGATACAACTCAAGCCTCAACTTAGTTGAATGACTAAAAGGCGGGTAGGTTTAAGGGAGGCATGGAGAAGGTTGTGGAGTACTTCTGCCTGGAGCAGTTTACAATACAATTTCCGACCTGATGCCTTTGTGGATTCTTGACAGGGCCCTGACGTTACCACAGTAAACAAGGCTGCTGAGCTCGCAGAGAACACGCATCGCGCCATGCATCGCAGTGAACTAAAGGGCAGACACACAACGTGTTTCCACATCGGGGCGTGGAGAATAGGATTCGCAAAGTTTTTCAAATGTGAAGGAATGTGAAAGGCGCAGAGCTGGAGAAGGAGGTTGAGCAGACGCTGTCTAATGATCCTGTTATAAGGAAACACAGTGAGGAGCAGAAGTCGATTGCATGCTATAAGTGCCTTCAACCGGGACAACCTTGCCCTTGGTTGCTGAAATGAGCGTGTTGTATTATCATATAATTGAGCCGACACAGAGAACTTAAGGCTATTTAAGCCATTCATGAAGTAACTCGTGGTTAATGAAAAGCGCTGCAGGGCATTTCGAGATTCCGCAGCCACCATGGATGTCGTTCATTCATCTTATGTCAGTGCAAAATACTTCACTGGCGAGTGTGCATGGATATGACAGGCGATGCAGGAACACTGCGTTTCTGCTCTACCTCTCGCACAGCGTTCATATCGAGGGGCCCTTCGGAGCGTTTACTGCTGCGGCTGCTGTTTCGGCTAGGCTCTCACCGGAGTGAGTATTCCTACCCGTGTTCCAATAAAAACGAGATGCAACTTCAAAAATGGAAAGTAGCTTTGAATGTGGCATGATGGCCCACTTACCCCAACTGCAGGGAATCGGAGTTACAACTTGCAGGGAATCGGAGTTACATTCACCTGCCTTGATAGACACATCGATGCACCAGCTGAACGCAGACTAGCCTGATGCCAGAAAGCGTTTTAGAGCTGGACGCTAGAAAAGTTCTTTGAACAGATGCTGCGTCCAGCAGATGAGAAATCTCATTTTGGTTGCGCTTGATTGGAAAAGGCAAGGTGTCCGTCATCCGACAGAAATAAGAAAAAAACATTTATTAGGCAAAAACGGACTTCGCTTCAGCCTTGTATTCTTGCCATCGTGGCTTAAGTTGCTGCTTTGAGTTACAAGATTTCCTGAATGCAATTCTAACTACGCCTTAAAAGTTTTTAAAAATTGTAATTGGTTTTTAAAAAAACGTGTTTTCCTTAGAAATCTTAGAATCGAGGTTTTGAACAATTCGTTGGGCAGTCGATTCTTGTCTCTCTCGCCTGCCAACTCTATTTTTTGAAAGTGAGCCTGACAGGTTTTAGGGTGAATTATCTCGTGTTTGTAGGGCTGCTTTTACCGAGGAGTCTACAGTGAAGCTACCAGGAAAATGGCACTTCTGCTGAAAGCGAATCCGGAGGCCAGAACCATTCCGAGCTCTCACAACTGTCACAAGGGAAGCCAACCATGAAGCAGTGTGTTTTGTGTTGAGTCGCCTTATCATGGTGCCGAGTCCAGGAGAAGTGAGCTCGGGCCGATGGATACGGGGCCATCAGTTGTTCCAGGCGTCTCCAAGCGCGAAACACTTCAGATACCGGCACAGTGACCCTCTGGACAGTGGATGCGGACCCCTAACCATCAAGTCATCGCCATTTCGGTGGAGAACCTGTTATGAATGCGCTACGTGTTGTCCAGTGCTCTTCACTCTTGGCATTCCTCTATAAGAGACACTAGATGCAACCGCCAGAGACACTGGGCGCATTTCACAGAGACGCTGGACAGGTAGAAATCTGATGCAGTCTCAAATGGCGTAGCATCAAATTGCACATCCCCCACAACATACTTCTTCAGATCATAAGGCACACCTTCCATTAGTTAAATGTGTACACATTAACCAGTACATTTTATGCTCAGTAATTGCAGTAAGCGTCCTCAAACTATTTGCAATGGCCCTTTATGAAGCTGCTATTCTAGCTTACACTGCGACTGTGCTGAGTGCTCCACACAGGCCTGGCAATTTTTTGTGCCACTTGAAGGTGCTGGTGATCACTGGAGGAAAATGAGTCATACTGCATCACAAATATTTTCGTTTTCATTGTACACCATTCTAGAGCAGCTCAAGGTGCCCAGCACTCAGCAATGGTACAACAAAACACAGGCAGCGATCCACTCTAAATATCATATTACGATTGCCATGCAGTGCACACAACTGAGTAAGTATTCTATCATTCACAAAAGCATCAAACACGCAAATGATTACTAAGAGTTCTGTGTAAAGGTCTGAAGGCAATGCAACTTTAAACTTTGGAGGAAAAACTGTGCCAGCACTACCAAACATACTGGAAACCTACACTCAAAGCACAATATATTAAAGGGTACCAGAAACCTCAGTCAATGTTCTTTTTTTGCTAAGAGTCGAAATCTACTTACAGCCTCCAACTGATGCTTCTTCTGCGAAAGAACGTCCAGCATATTGCAGACATCATTCAAGTTCATGTTGTCAGACTCCTGCAGGATAAGTTCAAATAATTCTGACACTACTGGGCTATTCTGAAATAATACAGCAGATATGAGCATGCTGCACAGACTCTGCAGATAGAGAAAAGAGTTTTTTTAATGGAAGTTCTGCATCTCACTTACGCCCTCCAACTTCAGTTTCTTGTCAGCAGCCTTTTGCTTATACTTCGTAATAAGCTCATTCACTGAAATAGCAAGTGATGAACTATAAGAAAAAACACTTTTTAAAACCACAATAACAATAGCAGCCGTGGAAAACCCTTTAGCACTCATAATAAAAATTGATTGCTCATAGTTGGCTATAACTAAGAAAAAAATTGTTTTTCAATAAATTTGCTTTTGAAGAAAAATTTCCCCTCAATACATACCACAGTATTGAGACACAACGTAGTGAAATGCGACATTTATTTGAAAACTGTGAAGCCCATGGACATTTAATACTGACACAAACATGACAAAACCAATCATCATTGCTCTTGTAGTCACCTGAAGCACTTTTGTATCCTACCAGTAAAACTCACTCCTCTAAACAAAATGAAGAGTTAATTTCTCTCTCCTCGACTAGCTTCTACACTGGCTAAGGAGGGAAGATGTTTGAGGTTCGGAATGGGTCTCCTCGATGACTCGAGTGCATGGTGGCAGCACGAAGGAAGAGCCGTAGTCCGGTGAAGAGACGCTTTATTGCAGCCTCAAACGTCTGCCCGAGTCCAAGCCCAAACCTCCGCTCTGAATCCGCCATCTCCCAGAGTATGCCTGAAACGCAAGTGCATTCAGTCAAAAAAAAATTTTCTCGCAGTGCAGCCAGCAGGTCCCGAAGCAGCGTGCGTTTTGACGCTACTTCTCTCAGCACACCAGCAGGTACCAAAAGCGGTGTCTTGTCAGCTTCCCGGACTTCAGCACTTTCCTCGCTGCGGGCTCTCCACTCCACCGTCAACAGCACCAGTTAATTTCCTCTTCCTCAAACATCTTCCCTCCTTAGCTAGTGTAGAAGCTAGTCGAGGAGGAGGAAAAAAACTTGAAGTCTTTCAAAACGCTGCACTTCCTCTCTCTCTGAATGGCATCAGGTATTTTCATTGCTGGGAAAATTTCAGAAAACAGCTACTTTTCTGGAGTTATCTCTGAGTGTGCCACCGTTTTTCCGGCACAACTGCCAAGCTAAGCAGATTGATGGCAATACTGTGAAAACTTAAGTTTTTTTGTTGTTTCTTTTTTCTGCACTATTTCTGCCCCTTACAATGAACAATTCAAGACAATGTCAATGGCTACCAAAAAAAATTTACGAACCAACATGACCATAGCGGCCAAAGACAACTGGAATGAATCCAGGAGATACAGGGCAGATACACATCTGGTGGACATTCCGAATTTAAGATACAAAAGAGAAGTTTATATAACAGAGGTATTCAATAAAAGGTGCCTTGGAACTCGATGCCGTCGCTAAGCAAGTAACTTTTTATATTGCAGTATACGAAAAAAAAATATATCTAGAGGTCCTTCATAGCCATTACAGCCACACATGCACTCAGCTTACAATAACCTAATTCATAACATGTTCTGTTTTAGCCACTACAGTTGTTTGTAAACCTTCAGATGCCACTACCGCAACAACACTACACCTGCCATTAGTATTCTTAAATGAACCCTGAAACACTTTTTCAGCATTGTCAGAAAACTCTATCAGTAGTCGACACACAAGTCGAACATTACAGCGCAGCATGAAATAACATTTAATTCTCAAAGTCGGCAAGAAATCATTTACTTTTTTCTCAATTGCCATAAACCCAAACATCCATGCCAAAGTCCACAGCCATGGGCTCATTTATGCAAACCAAGCTGCATAGCTACCATGTCTGCCACGGGATTCTCCACGTGCCTCTGTGCACACTCGCAATTACACTGAAAGTAAGTTGCACATTGTAAGAAAAAAAAAAAAAAAGGTGTTAAAGGTCATGATGTGTGCTGGTGGAGGGATGCATTTTCTTGCATAAATGTTATCTCGCTCCCTAAGTAGCCTTCAGTGTGCTTACTAGTACAAAATGAAAAAGCACTTAAAGCATTACATAATCCCAGCAGCTCCGCTCGTATCCGACAAATTTTAAATTTTTTTCGACAGTCGATTCGCGACGCGATAAGCTCTTTTAAAGAAGCCACATAATAATTACTTAGTTTTGAAGGGTCGTGTTAATGCACGAATGACTGCACTCCTGAAAACCTCGGATACCATGCTGCCATTATGTGCAAATTATGGGAAGCAGAACTGCAAGGCATTGTCCTACCTCTGTTTTCCTTGTGCTCATTGGAGTAACCACTATTCACATTTGCACATCTGACATTTTACTTCACCATACTTGTTGTGCACTTTGTGAGAAGCTCTTTAACATGACGCCAAGTTTGATGAAAAGAAGCCACAGCTACTTTTTTTACAATTATTAATAGGATGAAGCATTAAGTATGTGCAATTTGAATGGATTTTGCTACGCTTTTAAGCGGATGACTTACACAGAAAGTTCGGATAGATTTGCTCCTTCTTTTCAATCACGAAATTGCATTTTGGACAACGGTTACTGTATTCCAGGCCAGTTGTGATGCACTTGAAGCTGCAAGGCAAACCGCAATTTAAAGCGATATTCGAAAAATGGCACTGGGCTTAAGCATAAACAAAAGGCACACGGTCTACTCACCAAAAAGTGTGTCCACACGGTGTCATGTGTGCTTCTTCAATTATATCGAAGCATATTGGGCTACGATAAAGGGGAAAACACGCAAAGGAACATTAAAGTACGGACCTAAAAGATGGGGTCCCTATCAAAACGCCTAACTATGAAAAGGTCAAATGTCAGAATGACGAAAAATTGAAATGCCAAAAAATCAAAAGGTTGAAAAATCAAAACACTGAACCGACAGAACGCCAAAAAAACCGTGCAGCAAATTTTATTGAACCATGTGAAAAATAAATGCCAGGCTTTGTGAATTGTGACTACCACTTGTTCATTTTCCGCTGTATCACTGCCCCTTGATCTAGCTGTTTAATTTAATCCGCAGATGTAGCAACATCGGAATATTATACCGATGTAAAATTTCGTATTTTTTAGCTGTTGTGTATCTTTAGCTGTTGTGAAGCTAGGCATATCTGTTGGACAGGACGGCTCTTACGGGTCCGCAGAAAAAAAAAACATTGCTGTCCAGCGTTTGGAGTACAAAAGCAGCAGCAATGTGAGACAGTTGTCATTTGATTGAAAATAGAAGAAGACATGTGCTTCCAGAAGAGAAAAGAAAACTGATGCGAAGACGATTTTGTGTAGATGCTTAAAAATGTTCTAGACACTACTGGCTAGGCAAGTGTACGTTAGAATGATTCATGAATAAGGTACTTGCAAAGTCGTCCTGAAAAAAGCTGCCACGCTATAGCCATGCTCCGGATGTCTCTACAGCGACAGTTCTTCGCACTCAAGAGTGGATCAAAGCGCCTCGGGCAAGGCACCCGCGAAGCTTGTACAGCGAGTCACGGCATATATACCAGCGTCTTCAAGGCAACCCTTTCGGAGGGATGAAGCCTTGCGCCAGATTGTGAAAAGGAAAGCGGACTGGGACATGAGCCATGCTGGAACTCGGCCTCGAGGGCGAGTCCCGAACAAGCATAGATGACCGTGCGCTTCGAATGGCTGAACCATATTCGAAGAGAACATGGCTATTGGAAACGAGGGCGAAAGCATATGCATATCGTAAAAAGCCAGTGGAACCTTTATCTTGCGATTATACATCATCTTCCACTCTAGCTGGGCGAGATCGGCATTTTCACGCTTCGGTGTTCAGATTTTTCGGCATTTCCTATTTTCGACTTTTGCGTGTTTTCGGCGTTTCAGTTTTTCAGTGTTTTAAATTTCGGCATTACGATAGTTCGGCGTTTTGAATGCCACCCTAAAAGATACGAGTTCTTGGTCGTGTTTGGTTTAACAGATCAACTTCGGAAACAGGCGAGCAACATACACGACTCGTAAAAACGAGCGGCTGAGACAAAACAGCTGTAACGCGTTTGCTTAGCAGGACACCAAAATGACTTTAAATCTTCCTGGGACTTGCACTTCGCGTAAAAATACAAGGAATTAGGCCGACCGTCGAGCACTTTGACAAAAAGGTCTCGGCGGTTGAGAGAATGCGCAAGCTCGTGAATCGAGGCAGTACGCACCACAAGAAATCGTTGTTCATGTCTTCATACGAGCTGGTGATTCCGTTTAGAACAGATGGCTGTCTCTTCCTGGCTTTTCGAATTTGTTCCGCTGTTGAATTCGGCAAGGAAATCCTTGTGTTGTTGACTGACGCCATTGACACGACCTACCAGAGCTAGTCGAGCAAGAACGTCTGCTCGAAGAACATGGATATGCTACAGCACACGCAGACGATAAGCGAACGGGCTTAAAAACTTTGGCTCATAATAGTGAGAACCCAATATAAACATGGTTCTACACAATTTTTGTTACGCTATTATGGCACATAACACTCGAAATAAACTTTCGAAAGACTGTACGATCAAGCCTTCTATCTATCTCGAGCCGTTCAGACTCGGGAGTCGGAACACTAGGGACGCTATGGATCGGCTTGGATTCGTGGAAGAATGTGTGCAAAATGGATAGATAAAAGAATTGATGTGGCTGTAACCTTTGGATTGGGCGGTGGCTAACCTCACCTAGCCGTAATACTTAATGAAGTAACCATTAGATTTATCTTTTTTTTTCTTTAAATAGTGAGGTTGAAGATTCGTACTTTGCAGTGAAGGGTTTAATTTTCACTCGTGCCTTGACTTTATCCAGCAATCAGATAACCTCCTTCTAGTTACGTCTACCCGCTTAAAGTCTATTTTGCCCTACCTGTCCCTAAACCCCAGTGCTTTGAAAAACTCTGCGCCATCATCCTGAACTACAGCGTGAAGCCCTTTACAGAACATTATCAAGTGTTCGGCAGTTTCTTCTTCCTCTCCACACGCACTGCATACTGTGTCTACACCTTCGTATTTGGCCCGATATGTCTTGGTTCGCAGTACTCCCGTCCTGGCCTCAAACAGTAGAGAACTACCCCGAGTATTATCATAGATCCTTTCTTTGGCAATTTCCAGCTTAAAAGTACAATAGATCTCTAGTGCGGACTTCTTAATCATGCCGATTCTCCACATGTCAGTCTCCGTTTACTTCACTTTCTTCTTAACCGATAGTTCTCTTTTGTTTGGCCACCTGCTGTTTACCAATTATTTACCGGTTAATTTCCTGGTTCTCTTCCTCCATTTTGTATCGACATTCTTCATGTACAAGTAGCTGAAAACCTTCCTAGCCCAACGCTCCTCCCCCATTTCTCTCAATCGCTTCTCAAATTTTATCTTGCTGCTAGCTTCCCTGCCCTCAAATGATGTCCATCCCATTTCACCTTGTACTCCCTGATTTGGTGTATTCCCGTGAGCTCCTAAGGCAAGCCTACCTATTCCACGTTGCCTAATTTCTAATCTTGATTGAACTTCTTATCTCATGCAGAAGACCACATTGCCGAACGTCAGCCCAGGAACCATGACCACTTTCCATATTCCTCTCACAACATCATACCTACTATACCTACTGTAATTCCACAGTGCCCTATTTTTCATCACTGCTGCATTCCTGTTACCTTTAGTCGTCACGTATATTTCGTGTTCCCTCAGGTACTCGGGTCCCATTGCTTTTCCATAAGCCCAGATATTTGTATTTATCTGTTATCTCTAGCGTGACCTCCTGTATTCTAAGCTCACTACCTTCGTTGTCATTGAAAATCATGACTGCTGATTTTTCCTTACTGAATCTAAAATCTAACCTATCTCCCTCATTACCGCAGATGTCCATCAATCTCTGCAAATCTTCCTTGTTGTTGGCCATTAGCACTATATCATCTGCGTACATTAATGCTGGTAGTGCATGATCAATGTTTTCCTCGTTTGACTAAAGAGAGGTTGAAGCCCAGTCCACTTCTCTCTAATTTGGCCTCTAATCCTTGTAGGTACATCACTAATAATAAGGGTGACAGGGGACACCCCTGCCTAAGCCCCCGTTTTACCTCTGCAGGCTTGGATACCTGTTTTCCCCACTTTATAACTACCTTGTTACCTTTATAGATATCCTTTAAAAGATTAGTGATACTACATGTTCCACGCCTAGTGTGTCCAGTATTACCCACAATTCCTTTTGAACCACGCTATCGTACGCTCCCTTGATATCCAAAAATGCTAGCCACAGGGGCCTGTGTTCCATTTCTGCTATTTCGATGCACTGCGTCAGTGAGAACAGATTGGGTTCCAACCTCCTGTGTTTCCGAAACCCATTCTGCAGTTCCCCCAGCACCCCCTCATCCTCTATCCATGCCTGCAGTCTTTATAATCTGCATCGCCAGCCTGTAGACCACTGATGTCACTGTTATAGGACGGTAGTTGTTTATGTCAGCTTTGTCCCCCTTTCCTTTATAGATCATGCTCATCCTGCTAAGTTTCCATCCATCGGGAACTTCACTATCGATTATTATTATTTCGCTCACTGCCTCTATCAAAGCCTGCTTAGACTTCGGACCTAATGTCTTTATCAGCATAATTGGAATGCCATCTGGGCCTGTTGATGTACTACTAGGAACCCTTTTCTCAGCCCTTTCCCACTCTCGTTGCGAAAATGGAGCCATTGCACCACTTGATTCGTCCTTGTCTATATTGGTGCATAAAGTACTTCTTTGTTGAAATTTTTCTGCCACCCTTGTTCTTATTTATTCAATAGCTTCGTCCCCTTCTAGCCTAGCACCTTGGGCTGTAGTTATAAAACTCTGCTCTAGGTTCGTCTCATTTCTTAGAGAGTTTAGATGGTTCCAAAATTTCGCAGCTGCCTTTCTAACTTTTTTATGTACTTCTGCCAGCCACTTAGCTCCCTTTCTTCTAATCTTTTCATTGATCAGAAGGGATGCATCCCTTCTATAGCTTAGAAAGGTTTTACATTTTCTTTCAACATCATCTGTCGGTTCACCCCGCTGCTTAGCATGTCTGTGTTCCCTAGAGGCTTCCTGACGTTTTGCTATGGCGCTCTTAACTTCCTCATCCCACCAACTTTTGGGTGTGTCTTGTTTTCCGGGGTGACTTGTCACGCGTCTTAGCAAGCTCTAGCTCAAAGAGTCTAATTAGATTCGTGTATGTCCACACTGTCTTATTATCCTCCGTGATTAATTTCTCAATTTGTTTAGTGGCTATTTCAATTTGCCTTTCTGGATAAAAATTTTCCTGTAGTTGCTCATCTTGACTCCTTCCCGCTTTCACTGCTCTTCCAAAGCTTAGCTTGATACGTTTGTGATCACTGACCAGACTTCTGGAGCCACCTTCATCTATGTGCATTCCCCTGAGCTTATCATACATCCTATGTGACATCAGTGCATAATCTATCGTCGACTGCAGCCTTCCTACCTCCCATGTTATTTGCCCTTCACACTTCTCGGTACTGTTGCAAATGATCAAAACAAGCCTTTCACACATATTTATGATCATTTTGCCTGTCGGGTCGGTATACCCATCTATATCTTCTATGTGCGCATTCATGTCTTCTAGTATAATTATATCGCACTATCTTCCTAACTCCTGAATGTCCTTTGATGTATGTGCACTCTACCATTGCCTGGTTTTCCTCTCTGGCCTTGCTCCCGTCCACAAGTACACGAAAGCAAGGAGTGTCATTTGACCTACCACTTTCCCTTTAAGCCATAAATGTTCCTTGCACTCCTGCTTGACCCTTTGCCAGTCTGTACTTTTATGAATGAATGCCCCAATACCACCCCCCTTTCTGCTGCCTTCTGTTCTATTATAATATTCCCACGCGTAGTCCGCATTGTTAGGAGGTTGTTCCATGTCCCTGAGATGTGTTTCTACAAAACCGTATACCATCGGCCTCTCTTCCCTTAGCTGTTCTTCTATCTCTTCCCACTTCAGCCTGTTCCTACCACCCTGCATATTAATATACTATACAATATACTATATATAATATACTTTATATATATATATATATATATATATAATATACTATATATATACTATATGTTGATAATAAGAAAGGCACCACAGCGCCACCTAGTGGTTTGTGAAAACGGGCTCCCCGGGAGGGCCGCCCTCGTCCCACTACCCTTATCCACTGTAATAGTGTAATGTTACTTTGTCACGAACCTCGCGCGTATTTAACAAGGACAAGACAAAGAGAAAAACACAATATGAGTGCTGTCTTGTGGTTTTCTCTTTGTTTTCTCGTTAAAAAATCTGCGTTTAGCTTGAGAGAAATGACGACTAGCCAAATCATGCATCTTTCTGCTGATCAAATACTGGCGTGATGGACGTGTGCTTAATAAAGTGAATAAGAGCTTTTCACATTAGCTTGTTGTTCCTTTTTGAACACAATATTACATTGCAAAAACCTAGCTCCCAGTAACACACATATAATTATATACAGTGTGCCAGCAAGTCGATATGCGAGGCATCCCTCGACAGCAGATAATTCTGAAAGCGTGCAGCTGACAATGGGTGCATGAAATAATTTGTTTCATAAACGAGAAGAGGCATTTGTCGTTGGTGTAACATGAAAGTGGTTTCCATCTCATTTTTTTATCGTTAAACTGCAAGCCGACGCGCGCTTCGCACTTATTCCATTGCTGTCTAAGACTATGGCAGTTCCACCCACTTTTTCCTTTAGCAATATGGCCGTCGCCGGCTTCACCTGGCTAGAATGTAACCTGGCTTCACTTGCCCTAACATGCATAGTGACAACTGTAAATTACGGTGCTGCTAGACCCTCCAAATATAATTACGCATGCAAAAACGGGAAATGTGCTAGCCATGAAGAAAGCTGTCACTGTATTGTAGTTTCTTCACTTCCACAAAGATTATGCCAGCAGTAAAAGTGCATAGAGTTAATGTACTTTGGAAGTACTTGGGAGCAGTGTTACAGAGTTGCCACTTCGGAACCTTTTCGCGACCCTGGAATGGAATGGGGACAATGATTGTAGAAATGGAATTAAGCACATTTTGCCTGAAATGGAATTAAGTGTCTTTCCAAGAATAGACCTGGCTCGCTTTCGCCTAAATGCTTTTTTTTTAACTTCAAACATTATTCATTGTTATGTGCGGTTTAACGTCCCTAAACCACCATATGATTATGAGAGACACCGTAGTGGAGGGCTCCGGAAATTTCGACCATCTGGGGTTCAACGTGTACCCGAATCTGAGCACACGGGCCTACAGCATTTCCGCATCCATCAGAAATGCAGCCGCCGCAGCCGGGATTCGATCCTGCGACCTGCGGGTCAGCAGCCAAGTACCTTAGCCACTAGACCACCGCGGCGGGGCCAAATATTATTAAATCAGAGCCTCAAGGTTAACAATAAAGCAGCATTTTTAAAATGACTTAGCTGATTACAAGCATGCTACATCTATAAGCAATGCTTCAACCACAACTCTGTCCTTACATCTACGATGTTTCTTCGAAGTTTGTCTCTATTCCCCGCGTAATCGCGATCGAGCTGAACTACGGCTGCAGCATCCCTTTTTACACCTTGT